CCGGTTATTATTCAAAATCCAAATGTTTCAATTCAATTATGAATTTTTTTATTATTTTTGAATAAAAAGTTTAAACTTTTTAGAAAAAAAATATTCATTTTGAGATTGAGCACTCAAGTTTATAGAAAACAACTTAAATGGATCAGTCATTATTATACGTATCTTTGCCTCGTACAAGACGATCTATGATTTTTCATAAAGAGTTAATGAAAAAGAAAAGTTATATCAAAAAGAAAAAATTTACATGAACACCAAAGATGAACTTGTTTTGAAGAAGTGTAGAGATTTTTGCTTTTTATTATTGGATCTAGGACTTATATAAGATGTGAGAGAGAGAGAGAGAGAGAGAGAGAGAGAGAGAGAGAGAGAGAGAGAGAGAGAGAGAGAGAGAGAGAGAGAGAGAGAGAGAGAGAGAGAGAGAGAGAGAGAGAGAGAGAGAGAGAGAGAGAGAGAGAGAGAGAGAGAGAGAGAGAGAGAGAGAGAGAGAGAGAGAGAGAGAGAGAGAGAGAGAGAGAGAGAGAGAGAGAGAGAGAGAGAGAGAGAGAGAGAGAGAGAGAGAGAGAGAGAGAGAGAGAGAGAGAGAGAGAGAGAGAGAGAGAGAGAGAGAGAGGAGAGAGAGAGAGAGAGAGAGAGAGAGAGAGAGAGAGAGAGAGAGGAGAGAGAGAGAGAGAGAGAGAGAGAGAGAGAGAGAGAGAGAGAGAGAGAGAGAAGAGAGAGAGAGAGAGAGAGAGAGAGAGAGAGATTTTAAGCTGAAATTTTACTAACTTTTGTTTGGGTGTTTAGGAGAGAAAGATAAGAAGAGATTTTAAAAAATGATGAAGTACGGAAACCGGTGATTTAAGAGGGGTTGGGTGAATTTTGAGAAATTTTTTTGTTTCATAACACAAAGCTTTTTAAGAAATGAAATAAGACAAATCTATATGCTTTGTAGTGGTTTTAAGAAAACTGAAATGGAAAAATATAAATTATACATTGGAATTGTTTTTTATAAAGGAATTGTACATATTAAAGCATACTCTTTCAAAATAAAATATAAATAAAGTTTGACTGAAATATTTTGAAAAAAAATAAAACTTTTTTAAAAAAAAATTCTTTTTTTTGAAAAAGAATTATTATTTTAAAAAAGTATTAATTTTTTTTTAAATTAATAACCGATTTAAAACCGGTTATATAACCATAATCAAATATATAACCGGTTTTATAACCAATTTTGATTAAAATATGGTTATGGTTATGAATCCAAACCATTTAATTGATTTAAAAATTGTTATGGTTTGGTTAAAATAACCAAACATGCACACCCCTAGTAGAGAATGTTATGTTTGGTGGAATGACTTGTGTAAAATAGACACATGGAGATGGGATAATTCTCATATATACAAAGTTAAAGAGGTGTACAAAGAGTTGAGTAATAGAGGCCCGAGAGGTGAGAATCCAAGCTGGACAAAAGATTGGAAAACGGAGATTCCGAGAAATGTCTCATGTTTGATCTGGAGGGTTTTTTCACAATAGAATAGCCACTAAGGATAATCTTATCAAGAGAACTGTGTATTGTCAAGGTTCAGTAGATTGCGTAGGAGGATGTGGAAGTAAAGAATTGGTATCGCATCTGTTTTTTTAGTGTCCATTATTTGCAGGAATATGGTATTCAATTTGCCATTGGATCGGAACTAAAACGACATTACAGAAAGACAGTATGGCTCATCTGAACCAATTCTCGAGTTTGATGGATACATGGAGAATACATTCTAAGATCGTTTCGAGAATTTGGTTTGCGAGCATTGGGAATATTTGGAAGGCGAGGAATAATGAAGTATTTAACAACAAGGAAGTGGATTTAGGTAAGGTGATGGAGAACATAAAGCTTCATTCTTGGAACTGGTTGAAAATTAAAAACAGCAACACTAGAGTTAATTGGTTGCGGAGTCCGATTATTGGTCTTTGATGCGAAAAGGAGATCTAATCCAAGAAGCACAAAAAGTTCTGCAGTTAGTATTGGTTTTAGGAGTAATCTTTGTGGTCTGAATTTAGGAATTGTTGTTATCTAGTGGAGAATTTCTAGCTTCTGAGTGCAGAATAGCGGTGTATATTTGTTTGCCAGAATTTGTCTGGTTTTTGTCAGGACAGATAACACTGCTTCAACCTTTTGGTCAGATATGCTGGTAGATTAGTTTAGGTGGATTTTACTTCTTTTTGTTGGGTGGTCTGTTGTATGTTTTCTAGTTTGGGTGTTGTGGATTTTATTGTAAGAGTAGTTTAACTATTCCAAATGTTTGAGATCCAAGTAGCAGCTTACTTTTAAAAGTTTCTAAAAGACTTGCAGTTTGAGGTCTATTCTTGCAGCCTTGATTGTGTAACGTTCTATTTGTAAGTATTAGGCATAACTCATGCCATCATTTAATAAAATTCTTTTTGTTTGTTCAAAAAAAAACATACGACTTTTTGACTCAATTACCTCTTTCCTGAAATTTAATGTCTCAAATATTACCTTCTAAAAAAATCTTCAAATATTTTTTTAACGATTTTTCTGCACTCTCTATTTTGAATTGCAGATGGGTCAGACATCTAGTTAGGATCCGTCATTTAGGATAGAGCATTTTTTTTTCATTTTATATTTTCTGATTTTTTATTTAAAATATATTTTTTATATTTAAATTAATAAAAAAATTATATTATATTATTATATTAATTTAAATTTTATTTCAACTTTTTTTTAAAAATGTTTAATAATGAATCCTTTTTAGATATTCAAATATTATTTTAATATACTATGACATACTAAATATTATTAAAATGTAATTTAAAAAAATCTCATAAGTAATATATAAAATTTTAAATTACAACCGGATGATATCATAAAAAAATTAATGTCTACTTTGATTCGGCTCTTCGAAGACAAAATGACTACCAGTTCCACATCTTGTACGAACCCGAACTCGACGACCACGACCTAATTGTTCTCTTGAAGTAGGTGGAGGAAGGGTTGAAGTTGTGGGCGGATAGGTAGAGGTTGAAAAAATGAGTGGTTGATTAGGGGAAACTTCAAATGGCTCGAAATTCTCAAAATTGATATCTTGAGGAAATTCGTTAAATATTTGTTGTGAATTGGGTGGGGTTTGCGGTTGAAGTTTGGCAGTGAGATTGGTATGTAGTGTTGTGGGGGTGGAGGCATGGTTGTTGTTGGGATTGGTAGGTGTAGTTTGTTTGTTATTGCAGTGTTTGGTATGTGTAGTGGGTTGGTGTATGTTGTGTTTGTGTCTGGTAGTTTAGTTGTTAGTATGATGTATGTTGTGTTTGGGTTTGAAAAGGATGGGTATATTGATTTTGTGGTTCATTTTGGCTGGATGTGGATGCTTGGGTATATTGTGATTGAAGGTATGTGAAATGTGGTCGTGGTGGAGTCGGCATATGTGATGCGGAATACTGTTGTCGGGGGTCAATTAATAGTTATTTTCTTAATGTGTATTGATATGGAAGCCTATGTATCCAATTGAAATATTTTTGAGTTGACTTCAATTATCCCTGAAACGCTACCCCTTTCAATCATATTTGGTGTCTCTTTGCCCAAATATTTTGTTCATTTCTATTTAAAACCATGTAGTTGTAATTTCATGACTCTTGCATAGTCATGGTATGATACTCTTGGAGGCATTTATAAGGGTTGGGTATTTCTTGATGATACCCTAATTGCAATTTAACCATATCCGACTGATGCATTTCAACTATCCATAAGCATAAGATATGTGTTGTTGCACTCCAAATCAAGTGGTCGTCATTCTCTAATAGTGGCAATTCAAGATATGGTCTCCATATAAATTGTTAATGTATAAATTATCAATATGAGTGTAACATAAATATTTGTAGGGCCTCCTTGAAAAAAGGAAGTGGTATGTGGGTGATCACTAAGGTTAGCGGTCCACACTCCTGCACGTCTTCATATAAATTGTTAATGTATAAACTATCAATATGAGTGTAACATAAATATTTGTAAGGTCTCCTTAGAGAAAGGAAGTGGTATGTGGGTGATCACTAAGGTTAGCGGTCCACACACCTGCACGTCTTTTGCAATGTCCCAAGATCATAGAAAATTAGACTCCAATCTAATATGTGACAGTATCAAATCTCTAATTTATAGTGCTGCTTCACAAAAAGTGAAATACATCATCGCTCATATTTGTGAGAAATTCAACTACACAATCTCTTACAAGAAGACATGAATTTCAAAGAACAAGGCTATCGCTTCTATTTATAAAAAATGGGAGACTTCATACAATGATCTACCATAATGATTGTTGGTCATGAAAAGATTTCTACCCGATACTACAATAGAACTAGAAACCCTTCTTATGTGATCAAACGAGGGGATAATGTGGTACTAGAATTTTCCACCATCTATCTTGGTCGTTCGAACCATACATCACGGGTTTTGCAAACTGGTAGTTCAAATAGATGAGTTATATGAAAAGTTCAGAGAAACTTTGTTAATGGCTGTTGTCCAAAATGGTAATAGAAATATATTTTCAATTGCTTTTGAATTGGTAGAGGGTAAAACTGGTGGTGATGTTTGGCGCGTTAGTTTTTTCCTTTAACAAAATATTAACATTTATTTTAATTTAAGGACATGTCTTAGAAAATGATAGGCAAAACTATTATTTTTATAGTCTTTATACTCGATTCTTAAAAGTTACGGTAAAACCTTAAACAATTGTTCTTTCAACTCAAATTCACTAGCAAGACCAAATCATTTATCTCTTCATTAAACTTCTCTGATAAATTTTCTCTATTTTCTAGTCTGACAATGGTCCATACCTACTTCATCATCATTTGTGTAACGGGCAAACCCTCACTGACACCGAGGGCCCATCATAACGTCATGGAAAAGACTCAAAATCTAGGACTCACAATAACATAATACAAATTGATTAGTGTACAAACAACATAGAAAAAACCAACCCAAAACCAAATGAAAAATGTACATGTATGAAATAAAAAACCATGATCTAAGGAATAATCACACGCCTACATTCCGAGGATGATTTCTGTGTTCCACCTTGACAAAAAAAGAAAACATGAGGACACCTAAACAAACAATTATCAACTAAACTCACATTAGCAGAATCTTGTTTAAGAACCAACAAAGGACGAGGTATCCCTCCCAACAAATAATTTCCCCCTAACAGAAGCCTTCCAAACGGAGCCATTCCGGTTTCTGGAAAAACCGTCTTTAAAGCAAACTGAACCGGTATCAAACCGGTGAACCGGTTATTCTCCAAAGACAGAGAAGAAAGCCTGGGTAAAAACGCAAGAAACGAGGGTAAAAAGCCTTGAAGCTGATTGTTACTCAAATCAACTGATATGAGTTCGCTTTGCAGTGATTGTGTTCCGTATGGAGCTTCAATGGAGGTAAATTCGTTGAATGAAAGTGTTAACTGTTGTAACGATGGAAGCTGGAAGAATATAGAAGGAACATAGCCCTTGATTTTGTTGGAGGTGAAATCAACTACCTGTAGATACATCATGTTCTTGAAGGTTTCAGAGGCTAAACCGCCGCTTATATTGTTGTTCCGTATTGAAATCTGAACTAAAGAAACCGGGAATGAAGATGGGTTGTCGGAGAAACCATTGTCACTGAGATCCATGTGGTAGAGATTCACCAAAGAGCCTAAATCAGTGATTTTTCCGGTGAGGTTATTGCGTTGAAGTTCGAGCCTTGTTAAGCTTCTGAGATTGTTGAAACTCGAAGGGATAGTTCCTTGGAGATTGTTGTTGTCGAGATATAACTCTTGGAGATTTACAAGAGATGTTCCGATGGAAGATGGTATTTCTCCGGTGAACGAGTTGGATGATAGACTGAGTCGACTCAGACGAGTTAATTTTGAGAAAGAATCAGGAATGAGACCCGTGAAGTAGTTGTTTGAGAAATCGAGAGTTTCGAGATAAGGAAGATTCTTCCAAGCGATGGAAGAGAGTGAACCGGAGTAACCAGCTTGGTCGAGACTAAGTTCGGTGACTCGACTCAGCTGTGAAACGACGACGTCGCATCTGAACCCGCAGGTGAATTTTTCGCTGAAGAGATTTTCGCATGGGTCGAAGGTGAAGTCCCAGGTACTCACGCATGAGCCTGGATTCACTGAATTAACGTTTATGTTCTGTTTGAGTTCTTTAAGAGCCTCTATGTCTTCCCAATGTGTTTTTGATTCTGCTATTTCGAGTGAAAAAACTAAGATGAACGAAAATAGAAACAAATTTAGAGAACTCATTATGAGATTTTTTGAATTGAAATGACTCGACAGAGAAATGTGTTTCAAACAGGAATTTTAAGGAGGGTGTTATTGTTATTGTTGTTGTGCTGCAGAGAGACAGTGAATCTGGACCGTTGAATGTGGAACCAGATGAAAAGTGGTTTTTTGATGAGTAGGTTCACGGGTTGAGATTTTAGGGACTTATCTTATGAATCTTTTTTAGATTTTTTTTAATAGAAGAAAGGGATAATGATAAGGTTTATTTCTTTATTTTCGTGTACGGTGGGCCATGGTGTATAGTGACACGTGTTGGTATTTATGAATTGACAACTGTAATTTGAGTTGATTGAGAAAGGAAAATGAAAATGAAGTTATGTTTTGTTTTGTATATAGCTGTATTTTTAGGTTTTTTATATTGTTTGGTGGCCAACGGTTATGAGGCTTCTTGTCCAACATTCTTAAATTTTCTACAGAGAATAAGTTTTTTAAATACGTTCAATTTTGATTCTCTGTTAATGTAAGTAGTTTTATATTCTCAACAAATTGCGGTGTAATTTATATATTTAATAATTTTATATTGATTAATTATGTCAAATCACGTTTTATTTGACACAAACTCATGCAGATCTCATTTAATGAAATAACACTTAATTGTTTTTATACAAAATGTGATGTTTTAATGAATAACCTTTCAAGTAGTTGTTAGGGACAAATTTATTTTAACTATGTGTGAGGGGATTAGAAATTACCTAATAAATAGGAAGACCACATATGTATCTAAAATTAACATATGCTATCATATGTAATGTTCATACCTAAAAAGAGATTAGATAAAGAGGTGTTTCTGAGCTGTCATATGTAATGTTCATAACTTGCTACTTATTATATAAACTTGTAAACAACGAGAAAAAAATCTAAAAAATAATTAGTGCAAACATTAATCCGTAGCTTTTGTTCTTTTCAGTTAACAACTTTTTCTTTATTTTTTCATTCTTTGATTTTTTTCTATATTACTTTCTAAATTTCATCCCAACGTGCCAAATTCCTTAAGATAAACCATTATATATACACAGTAGTTTCAACCAACATCAAAACTACTTGGAGTTTCTTAATTCTCAGATTTACTAACAAGCTCATCAAAGTCATCATCCCATATCTAAGATTTACAATTACAACATTTACAATTAATACATAATTTCATTGATAGTAGATTTCAACCTTTCAAATTAAATTTAAGCTTTCAAATAAAATTTACACATAATTTCATTGATCGTAGATTTCAACATTTACAATAATAAAAATAATAATAATATGGAAAAGAAATAGATCAATCAATTATGTGTTAATTTTATTTGAGAGGTTATAATTTAGGTGATGTAAGATTTAAGTACTTTAAACTTAACTTGAGATATGACGAGTATTGTTATGCCTCAAGTCTAGTGCTTTTGTGTTTAGGGTTAAATGACTTGTAGTTGTTGTCTGATAGCTCATCCACCATACAATTATCTTCGATTACAAAGCTAGCTAGATTCACATACTACAAGAATAACATGACTAAATTTGTGGGGTGTAAAACCTCAAAAAAAATTACCCAAAGCTCCACAAAACATACATTTATAGTTAAATTTTAACGGTAAAAAGCTCATATCATATAACATAGTCACAAGTATCTGTGAGGATTCAAATTCTCACAAATATTTTATTTTTCAAATAAAATTGAATCAGTGTGTAAATAGTCATATGTGTGGAGCGTTTGAAGTTTGAAGTTCCCACACATGCATGACTATTTCAGCTGCCATTTTTTCTGTCTTTTATGATTGTTAAAACCATCACACACTTATGTATAATGCAACACTTTAATGAATTAAATAAATAAAAAGTTGATTACTATAAATATTAAACACACACAAACACACACATAAGTTTTTATGTGATAATTTACGTTCAACCCATATTTCATCAAGAACCAAATATTAAAGAGTTCAATCAAAATTTGCAGCAAGTGATAATTAATTTGAGTTATTTCTATAACAAGATATAGATGGCGGAATTATTCAAAGTTTGAAGACCGCTTACATATATTTTTTTATAGAAAGTTAACTTGAAAAATATATTGTATTTTTTATAACATATGACGCACCTTTATAATAGACCGATGATTTATCATTCAGAGCTTGAAAATAGGATCAACCCGAACAAACCTTATCAAACTAATAACAAACTATTAAATTTATCTCTAATACTCTCCCTCAAGTTGGAGGGTGAGGATTATGAACACCTAAAATAAACATGAGGCCTTAAAAAACTTTCACGCCTAAGGACTTAATAAAAATGTCAACATGTTGTAGTTTGTTGGACAGATAAGTTGTGTTTATGGCACCTGGCTATATTTGTGCTTCATGGAAGATTGGGTTTGCATTTAAATGAAGATCTTCTTGATTGTCACAATGCAAAATTGCGGGTTTGATGCATGGAACTTGCAGAGTCTCTAAAAAATCACGTATCCATATTATTTCATTTGTGGCATGTGCCATTTTATGGTATTCAACCTCACTTGAGAATTGAGAGATCGTGGCTTGTTTCTTAGTTTTCCATGATATTAGAGCATTGTCGAGTTTTATTAGATAACCTGAGATGGAATTTCTGGTAATGGGACATGATGCCCAATCTGAGTCACAGTAGCCAACTAGTTGTAGATCATTGTGTTATGGAAGAATGATACCTTGAGCAGGAGAAGATTTGAGATATCGTAAGACTCACATAGCAGCATCCGAATGGTCTTGGAGTGGATTTTGCATGAATTGACTTATAAAATGAACTGAGTAGGTTAGTTCAGACTTAGCGATAGTTAAGTAAATCAAGCGTCCAACTAATCTCTTATACTTTAACGGTTCTAAGAGTGGAGGTCCCTCGGCTAAAATAAGTTTGTGATTTTGTTCCATGGGAAACAATAAGTCTTAAAACTATGCATTCCACATTCTTGTAGAATGTCTAAGGTGTATTTTTTTGACAAAGGAATATCCCTTCTGACCCTTGTGTTATTTCTAGGCCTACAAGGTATTTAAGCGAACAAAAACCCTTCATGTGGAAACACTGATTGAGATATAGCTTAAACTGATCACATGACTCAAGGTCATTACTAGCAATGATCAAGTCATCAACATAGATCACAACAACAAATAAACATTTATCCATTTGAATAAGTAAATAGATTATGATTATACTTGTTGTCTTTGAAACCATATTTTATCAAAGATTGAGATAGCTTGTTATACCAATTTTTAGATGCTTGTTTCAAGCCATACAATGACTTCTTTAATCTGCAAACCAAATATTTGTTTAGAATTTTATATCCTTGTTGAGGACTCATATATACTTCTTCGATCAAATCTCCATGCAAGAAGGCATTCCTAACATCCATTTGATGTAATTTCCATTCTTTTACCACTGCAACTGTTAACAAGCATATGACTATGGTCATTTTGGCCACTGATGCAAAAGTTTCATTGAAGTTATCACCTTCTATTTGTCTGTAACCTTTAGCAACTAATTTGGCCTTATACTTTTCAATCTCACCTGTAGCTTTATGTTTGATTTTGTACACCCATCTACATCCTATCAATTTTCTTCCTTGCGGTAAATAAGTTAGTTATCATGTCTCATTGTCTTCTAGAGCCTTGATTTCTTTAGGCCATGGTCTCCCTCTAAACTGTGTGCTTGACTGTTTGGATATATGATTGAGGTTCTTCGTCATTAGTGATGGCTCTAAGGTAAGCTCTATGTTTTTGTGAAAAATTATCATATTTTAAATTTTTTTGGATATGTGATACATGAAGAGGGCTTTGGAATTGATGTCGTGCACTTGGGGTTTATGTTTAATTTGCCACAATCATAGTCTTTTAGATAATTTGGAAGTCGTCTTATGTGTGGCGTGTTCTAAGGCTCCCCTTATTTGAGACTTCTCCTTCACTTTCACTTGATGAATATTTTTTAGAATCATTGTTGACTTCCTCATTCACGTCATCTATGGATACATGTTTTTTCTCTATAGGCTCACTCTCAGTTTGACTTGTGTATTCAGGATCTTTAATGGGTAAACTTTCTATAAAACCTGATGTTTGGTCATTTTGAGGAATTTGCCCAAGGCTTGGTACTTCCAATTTTGCATCATTATATAGTGAAGATTCATGATTAAGGTTATCACTTGATGAGTTATTTCTAAAATTATTAGACCATTATTGTGTTGCACATGGTAAGGAAATATATGCTCATAAAACACTACATCTCTCAATATGCAGCATTCACGAGTCTTTAGATTGTAAACTTTGCATCCTTTTTGTCCTTGTGGATAAACAATAAAATACACATTTCATCTCTAGGATCAAATTTTTTTGATTCTCCTTGAGTCATTTTTCTTATAGCACAAGCAGCCAAAAGTTCTCAAGTGCTCATAGTTTGGTGCTCTCTTAAAAAGTAACTCGTATGAAGTGATTCCTTTATTTTCCACTGTAGGGATTTTATTGATTAGATACGCTATTGTCAATATACAATCTCCCCAAAAATGCAATGGGAGATTTGCTTGAAAACACAAGGCTTGTGCTATGTTCATAATTTGTCTATGTTTACATTTCACACATCCATTCTGTTGAGGTGTGGCAACACAAGAAGTTTCATGCATAATCCTTTTTTTTTAGTGAAGCACTTGAAATCAGAGTTAGTAAACTATGTCCCATTGTTACTCCTAATCCTCTTAATATGCATATTAAATTTCCTTTTGATTAGATATCTAAAACTAATCAAATGTTGTAAAGTTTTTGTCTTGTGTTTCATCAAATATGCCTATGTTCTAGAGATTAGTCATCTACAATAGTTAGAAAGTAATGTGATTCATTGTTTGTGGCAGTATGGTATTTCCCTCATAAGTCACAATGAATCAATTCAAAAGGTGTTTCGACTTTATTAATAAAGGAAAAAGGTTTTTACATTATTTTGCCTTGTGGCATACATCATAACTGTTT